ACTTCACAAATATATCTGATCTATAATCGGACATCCAACTGCCAAGTTTCATGAATCTGACTTTATTATTTTCCCAAATATTTAAAATTAGCTTCTGGAGTTGTATGGCAGGTACCCGAACCTGTAAAGCAATTCCTCTAAAACTTCAGAAATATATTTGACCTATAATTGGACACATGACTGCCAAGTTTCATGAATCTGACTTTATTATTTTGCCGAATATAAAAAATTTGCTGTTGGAGTTGTATGGCAGCCACCCGAACCGGTGCAGCTATCCCATTATAATTTTTAGAACACGTGTAGAATACAATTGGACACATGTATACAAAATTTTATATTTATAGCTTTATTAGTTTTTGAAATATTTAAAATAAACTCTTTGAATTGTATGGCAGCTACCCGAACCCGTTGTCCGAATTAGTCCAATAACAATAAGGCTCGTCCTTGGCACAAAAGGAAAAACTTGTGAAAGTTTGATGTCGATTGCATTATTCGTTTTTGAGTTATCGTGCGATCGGACGGACGGACGGACGGACATGTCTAAATCAACGCAGAATCTTATGCTGAGCAAGAATATATATATATGTCCATACCGCAGATGACTCCTTCAAGTAGTTACAAACTCCATACCAAAGTTAATATACCCTTCACGAAGTGCAGGGTATAAAAACTAATTAAAAAATAATAACATTTAAGCAAAAGAAATTCACATTAATTTTTAGCCCATATCAAAAGATGTTTCGTTTCAAAAAGTCTGATGTGTGGAATCACTTTGAAAAGCTATCTAATAATGAAAAAGCTAAATGCAATGTATGTGCCAAAACTATAGAATGTAAAGGCTCATCTACAAGTGCGTTAATAAACTATCTCAAAATCCATGACATTACAATTACTAAATCAGAATCTAATGCTGAAGAAAATAGTATACCAACAAAAAAACCGAAAATTGAAAATATTTTAAAGTACATAAATAAAGACACATTGGGTGCTATTTTATATAGATTTGCCGCCCAAGATGGCATGCCAGTTCATGCAATAAAAAGTTCAAAAGCTGTTAAGGGTTACATTGAATCGAAAAATTTAAAGATGCCATTAAGCGAAGCTACTATTTGGAAAAAAATTTAAATTAAGAAGGTGTCTAAATATTATTTTCAAAATGAAAACTAATAAAATAAAATAACAATAAAAATTTTTTATTTTGGCATTCTATGTTAATTTTTTAATTTTATTTAATTTAATATATACTCGTAATATCTGGATAATAACCGGATATTCGAATAGTTGACAAAGAAGTAATCGATATCCGGATAGTTGTAAATGCCGAATAGTTGAATGCACTAATACTAACATATGTAGGAATGAATGATAATTTAAAATTATGACGAAAAATGTAACACTTTGTGAGAACTATGCAAAATTACGAACAGAATTACAAAATCATTCATCGAAAATCGCTTTTCTGTTTGAAAATTTACATGACTGAACGAATGTTGCAACAACATAATATTTAGTCAATTTCGTTGAATATTAATTTTTTAAAATCTGTAGTTACGAGTAAACAATTATTCTTACAAGATTTTTGATCTAGAAACAATATTGACGTCGTCACATTGTATGAAACAAAATTATCTAAAAATGGTTGTTTAAATTTTAAATATTATAATATAATTAGACAGCACAGGCCCGAAAGTAATTTCGAAAAACTTGCAATTTTTGGTAGGTCGCAAATAGTGAAATCAAAAGATATAAGATCACCGCACTAAATGTGGAATATTATCATCGTCGGCTGGCGCTGATTTGAATGCTCATCAGCTTCTATTACCTTAAAAGACTCGTTAAGGCCCGATGAACAATGTGGGCATGACTAGCGAATAACACCGTTTTTAATGTCTTCAAATTTTGGTTCACCGACTTCAGCGTATTTGATGTGATATGTGTTTTGACCCCACTACAACGAATCCATTTAACTTTCCCAGCAATATTTTTTTTGCAAATGGAACATTGTTTATACGCCATTTTAAATTATTTTGCTTCATATACAATTTTAATGGTCAATTTACGAGTATAAAATTTTCGATAGTCTATTTGTATTGTAATAGAATAATTATATAATTTTCCTTCAAGTATGTTTATTGAGTTTATATTGAATTATACCCTGCAACTTGTTAATCTGCAGGGATTAACGAAAATTTATTGATAGTCTTGATAATCTGCAGAGTATAAATATTTACTTTTGAAATATGTACAATTAGCTTTCAGTGTTTTATATCAAGTACTCAGACCTGTCAAACCTCTCTATCGAAACTGCACGGCTATGCCTGACCTATAATTAGGGCCACAACTGCCAAGTTTCGCGAACCTAACTTTATTATTTTTCCGAATATTTACAATTAGCTTTTGGAGTTATATCATTAACATTTTCAGAGTATATGTAGAATATAATTTAACGCACTGGTACAAAATTTGATATCAATATGTCTTTTAGTTTTTGAAATATTTTTAAAAGTCTGTTTGTGGCCTTAGCGCAAAAGAAACAACTTGTAAAAGTTTTGTGTTGATTGCATTGTTTTTGAGTTATTGTACGATTGAGCGGGCGTACGGAATATATACACATGTCCATACCGTAGACGACTCCTTCAAGTGTTTGCAAACTTGATGCCAAAGTTAATATACACTTCATGAAAGTGCAGGGTATTTTTTATAGGCAATGATCTTTTTATATGCATCTTTTTTACAACATTTCTTTTCTTTAGCGTTAGTTCTAAAATATTTCGAGGATATTTTGAATAGCCTGTATTTCACTGAATTAAAAAGGAAACGATCACCGAGTTCGTTTAGATATTGGCGATTTTGTTTTACGTATATAAATTTCCAACCCAATACTGTTTGGAATTGCATTTCAAAAATATTGTTTTCTGGTTGGCTTGAAAGTTGGAATTTATTTTCTAGATGAGCTTATATAGCTGTATAAAGAAGTTAATAACATATTGCGGAGGAACTAGTATGAGCGTAGCCCACTTATTAAAGTTTAAAAGTTTTAAAACGGTCAGAATGTGCTTATTAACATAATGTATATATGTATATGTTTTTTGTAACAGTGCATATACATACGTTTTATTTATAACAGTATGGCAAATATTTAACATCTTTAAAAATAACAGTATGACAAATATGTTAACCGTTATGAAAACTTTAATTTCACTACTATGGCATAACAACAAAACTATAATATTAACAATAATTCAAATATTGATAATAATTAAAACGCAATTTGATACATTCCTTTTAAGCTTCTGAAGGTTTCTTATTTACTTTAACAACAACATATTTACAAGTGAGTAAAAAAAAGGAAAAGACAAAAAAAGGAAAAACGGTAAAGTTGGCTGTGCGAATATTTTTAATATTTTTTCGAGAATTCATTATACCGAAAAATAAAAAATTTTAAAATTGCGCAAACGCAGCAACTTCTTTCACTTACAGCAATTAAATTACATAAATAGTAAATAAAGTTGGGTCAAATTAATGATTTGTGATGTCGCACTTTTCCCCTCAAGAGACGTTTTAATACTGCTTTTAAAAAAATCAATTACTACTTTCATTCATTTAAAATGTTTGCAGTATTTGCAATCAAACAAAAAAAAAAATGTAAACAGGCGCTAATATGATGTTTGAATTCATTAGCTTTCTCTAATTATAGCAATTCGAAAAAACTTGCAATTTTGGATGATGCAGAAAATTCAAGTTTTACAAATTTCGGGACGCGATAACTTGAAGAAGGAGCGGAAGTCCAAACAAATTTTCTTCAAACGAAATTAAATATTTATTAGTGTCTAAAAGCGGCTAAAATTTCAGACTTCTCCAGCCTGTGGTTTTGTTTTTTTTAAAGTTCAAATATGTAAGCCACAGTAGAAGAAACTAACCACTACTTTTCTGCGTTTGTAGAATTTGAAAAATTTAAGTAACGATCTATGCATTGTAACAGGTCCAAGGACAAAAATTAACAAGCACTTTTTTCAAAATTTTTTTGAAAGGTATTAAAATATGAAAACTAGGCTACGTAACGTATTACCACAAGTTTTTTCAAATATTTTACATCGTTTTTCTCTTTAACATTTAGTTGAGGTCTAAGATTTTGCAGTTTTTAAAAATCAATCCATATTTTGATTAACCTACTTCTCCTGTTCTTGGAGAGAACATAAGTGAAACTGTAAGCTATTCCAAGACTTGGAGAGTGAAACTGTAAGCTATTCCAAGGCTTTTATAAAAGCAAAAAATCTGATGTGGTCAACACATAACAGAGCGCAATGTGTATTGTCTAGTTAGGTGAAAATGTTACAGAATATTATAAAAATGTCTGTTAAATACTTATTTCCAATTTTTAGGGCATTAGTAAGCTTATAGTTAACACATTACGTCCCGTGTGCACACGTTTGTGCTTTTCATTGAACTTCAAGAAAATCCCGTGTACACATATATGTGCGTTTTGTTGAATTTGAACTCAAACATCTTTATAAAATAAGAGAAAACGCCTTTATAAGATAAGGAGCGAGGTAACGGTTAATTTCAAATTGTTTTCATCTGTAAAGTTAAATAATTTCGTCTGATCTCAAATTTCTCAAGAACTCTCTCACTTGAGTTCTCATTTGTCCCGTAAGGTCACTCTCTCACATGGGGTTTCATTTGCCCTGTATGATCTTTCTTTGTCTATTCTATAGTCTCCCGTGGTATATTATAGCTTAGCACATTTTTCAAATTTGGTTTGAAAAAAACGTTATTTGCTATATAAGAACGATATATTTGCAGTTTTAAATATAAAAAGACGTAAACAAATACATATAAACTAAAATTATTTTTAGAAACCATTTCAGGCAAGGTAAAAAAATCATTGAAAAACTGTTATTATACAGAATACAGTTTTATGTATGTATACACATATTTATTGAATTATTTTATAGCAAATTGCATATTTTTGAACCCACATATCAACAATAAAGTGAAACATGGATGAAATCGAAAATATATATTTTGAAGAGGATCTTGAGGATATCCTTTCAGACATCCCCAGTGAATATGCAGAAAGTGATGAGTCTTCTGATTCTAGAATTTTCGTACCAAGACAACGAGTAATGAGATTGTCAGATTCCTCAGAAAATGATGTAGCCGACGAAAATTTGGATTGGTCAGAAACTGATCTGCCGAGAAATCTAAATGATTTTGAAGGTGCTTCAGGAGTGAAAATATTTCCAGAAAATCGTGACAGCGTAGAAAATGTAACATCGCTTTTTATTGGTGATGATCTTTTCTCTACTATATGTGAAGAAACAAATAAATATTACTCTCAAAATCGTCACAAATATAAAAAAGTGGAGCATACTGCAAAGTGGTATGACGTAACTAATATCGAACTGAAAAAGTGGTTTGCCCTGGTAATAATTATGGGGTTGGTAAAAAAAAATTCTATAGCTGATTGTTGGTCAACTAACCCTCTGATTGAAATGCCTATTTTCCGGAAAACTATGACTCGTAATAGATTCCAGCAAATTCTGACCTTCCTTCATTTTTCAGATAATTCTATTATACCATCAAATTCGAATCGTTTAATCAAAATTCAATATATCATCGACTACTTTTGTAGAAAATTTATGGAGATCTACACACCCAACCAAAATTTATCATTAGATGAGGGTATGATTCCATGGCGTGGTCGTCTAAAATTCAGAGTATACAATCCCATGAAAATAGTCAAATATGGAATTTTAAATAGAATGTTATGCGAATCTAAAACTGGTTATATATGTAACTTCAAATTATATTCAGGTGAAAGCAATAATTTGCGGAACACTATTACTGAAGTATTGGCACCATATTTGAATAAATGGCATAACATTTATGCTGACAATTTTTATAATAGTGTTGATTTAGCAAATCATCTATATAGTTTGAAGACCAGAATCTGTGGTACTATCAGGGCGAACCGTGGACTACCTGCCGTTCTAAAAAAGCCAAAACTTAATATAAATGAATCTATATATCGCCGAAAAGGTGAAGTATTATTGCAAGTGTGGCAAGCCAAAAAAACGAAACAAGTAACGATGATTTCAACAATTCACCAAGCGGAAATTCATGATACCGGAAAAATAGATAGAAAAACGGGACTTTCGATAAGAAAACCGATAAGTGTTATTGATTATAATAATTTTATGAGTGGTGTAGTCTTGCCGATCAATATCTCTCATACTATCCTATTTTTAAAAAAACAAAAAAATGGACCAAAAAAGTTACAATGTATTTATTTAATTGCGCACTTCTAAACGCATTTATAATTTACAAAAAATTAAATCCCGACGAAAAGTTGAAATTTTCAAAATTTTTGCTTAGACTTGCTGAGTCTTGGCTAACAGAGAAAAACTCTTACTCAGACGAAGATATCGAAGCTAGTGAACCTAGTACTTCTTTTACAAGAACACCTCGGGCTGATAAACGAGGACGGCTTTCGGGATCCATAAAACAACACGAGTTGATAAAAATTTTCAGCGATAAGGCCAACAAATTTGTTAGAAGGAATTGTCGCGTCTGTTCTGCGCATAAAATAAGAAAACCAAGTGCTTATATGTGTAAATCTTGTAAAGTAGCATTACATATTGGAGAATGCTTTCAAAAATATCATACCAATAAAAAGTACTAAACTGTTTAATTATCCATGTACCAAAATTATTAAAATATATTATCATTTTAAAAACTATTGAATTATATCTATTATTATATAACTTCTAATTGGTTACAATTTTGATAATTCGAAGCTGTTTTGTTCAAGTTTCTGAAGCTAAAAAGCATTTCAAATAAAATAGTTTTTTTTTAATTTGCCCCGGTACCAGAGGAAAGTTTTTTAGAAATAACGCCGGGAGGTAATGTGAAAAATACCTAGAAAAATGTAAATTTGGCTCTTAGTAGAATTTTGCTTTGCTGTACCCGAATTCCCTGAAATGCTCGACAGTTAGTTTCGGTAACAACCAGAACTCAAATATCAAATTTCAACAAATTCCATCAGTTTTCGAGCCCTGTTCTTTCCAAAAAATTTATATGTTCATTGTTTTAGTACCAAGAATTTAAGTATTATATTTCAATGAAATCGGTTGATTATTTCTCTTTATATATGCACAAATGTATATTTGGCTCGTAGTAAACGCCCAGTTGCTGACACCTGATTTCTTCCAAGAGTTAGGGGGTTTCGCGGATGGTCGAGCGAAGCTTATGTATGAAATTTCAAGCAAATCAGTTGAATATTTTCTTTAAAGTGGTCAAAAATTTAAAACAGGTCCGCTAAAAAGCGCAGTTCCCGAGGTCTGATATATCCCAAAAGTTGATCAATCCGTGCCATGGTCGAAATAAACTTACATATAAAATTTCATCAAAATCAGTTCAACCGAACTTAGATACACGCATGCACACACAGACCGGCAGATCGGCAAACCGACAGACCGACAAACCGACAGACTGACAGACCGTTAGACCGGCAGACTGTGGAAGGAGGAACTTCCAACTTATAATAGGAAATGATGCCAATGCCCAGCACACCGTCTGGGGAAGCAGTAATATAAACAAAAGAGGTGAGTGCCTACTTGAATTTATATATAGCAATAAATTAATGGTTATGAATGAGGGCAATAGGCCGACATTCATAAATGCAATTAGGGAAGAGGTCCTTGACATCACCCTTTGCACTGAATTTATCGGCAGTAGGGTTGGTGGATGGCATGTCTCAAATGAGACAACAAACGGAGTCGGGTATGGGTTCGGGCGTATACGGTGTTCGTCCGGACACGCGTGTATATGCAACCCTTGACCCGTATTGCACAGTGTTCCAGGCCGAAATACATGCAATAGAGATCTGTCTGAGATTCAATTTGGAAAGGGGGTATAGAAACCGCACGATCTATGTGTTCTCAGACAGCAGGGCTGCACTGCTGGCGCTTCGTTCAGCTCAGGTTACATCCAAGTTGGTCTGGAGCTGCCTTGCTGCACTTATGGAATTGGCATCGGAGAACAGAGTGACGCTCATTTGGGTGCCGGGCCATAGTGGCCATGCGGGCAACGAAGTTGCCGATGGACTGGCGCGGAGGGGATCTGGGGCAGACTTTGTGCAGCCGCTGCCTTTCTGCGGTCTGCCTTCTTCCGCCTTGGGGGCCAGGCTTGCCTGCCTGCTCGCGGCGGAATGCGGCCGTCACTGGCGGGACATGAAAGGGTGCCGTCATCCGAAAGTGTTTCTTTCGGCGTGCTCCAGCGGATTCACCGCAGAATTGCTGGGAATGAGCAGGAGCCGGGTTCGTACTATTGCGAATTTCTTCACGGGGCACTGCCCAGTGAAGTACAACCTGCATAGGCTGGGGAAGTCGGGCTCCCCCCTGTGCAGATTTTATGAGGGTGGCTATGAGACCGCCGTGCACATTCTCTGCGACTGTCCGACACTGGCTGTTCGGCGCCGCAATTGTCTTGGACATGGGTCCCTAAGTGTTCGGGAACTGTTGTCCAACTGCCTTCTTCTTCTGCTGCATATCCACTGCTGGATGTAAGCGTGTACCTTTGATGAGTTAGCGAATGCTGGCAACAATATTAGCGTACTCCTCACGATTTAATGCTATATGAACTAAATTTCCAATTGTTCTTATATTTGTCCAGTTTCTAATATTTCGTAACCAGGACATTTGCTTTCTTCCCACTCCTCGTTTGCCTTCAATTCTTCCTTGGATAATTAATTGCAGAAGTTCGTATTTCTGGCCCCTAATTACATGACCAAAATATGCGGCTTTTTGTTTTTTGATTGTCAGCAGTAGTTGTGGTTATATCTCCATATTTTACTTTTGCAGTTTGTTGCCAATATATATTTCTAATGCACTGTATATCTTTGCCATCTAAACCCATGTTTTCGAGAATCTCTATTAGTTTGTTGTGCTGAACTCTATCGAAAGCCTTTTCATAGTCGATAAACCCTAGAAATACATCTTTTTGTACATCTTTGCAATTCTGGACGAGTACCTGGATCGCAAATAGAGCCTCACGTGTGCCTCACTTGTCTGTGATCTTTACATTTACGAGCATTTTTTTTCTTCGGTAAAGCAATAAAAGTAGATTTGAGCCAGGAAAAATGCGGTGTTGTAAATGTTGTTGAATATTTTCTCCAATATTTTGATGTTGTTGTCATTAATTAGCTTCAATAGTTCGGCGGGTACTTCATCTGGACCTACAGCTTTATTATTTTTAGATGAGTTGATGGCTTGACGTATTTCATCCTTAGTAATAGGTGGGCCCGAAAGTTGAATTGATGAGTTATTTTCTACGACTTCCGCTCGACTAGCTTCTTATATTCGCTTGTATTTTTATTTCTGTGCGATCTTCGTTGTTCCATTAACATCAAAATCTCTTCTGTCATCTAATTTCTTTTTGCCGTATATTTTTTGGTACCTAAATTTTCTTTGCCAACATTGCTCAGCACCATTTTCGTTTGATTCCATATAGATTGCGTATCATTTTCTGGTTCTATGTTCCGTAATTGATCATTTATCTTTGCAGCAGCTCTAGCTCTGATATTTTCGTTTTTCAACCTATCTAGATTTAACCTCACCTGTTGTGGAACCTTGGGTTTCGCAACGAGTTTAGATTTAATTTCAGCTAGTAATAAATTATGATCCGTCGGTACATCTGCTCCAGGATAAGTTCTAGCTCCTTTAACTGATGTGCAAAATCTATTGTTAATTAATATGAAATCAATTTGATTACGTACAATGTGGCTAATTGAGTCTTGAGGAGATTTCCAGGTGTATAATCTGCGTGGTGGTAATTTGAAGTATGTGTTCATTATTCTTAAGTTTTGTCCCTGACAATATTGAACAAGTCTATTCAATTATGTTCAACTCATGGGGTTTTGTTAATTTCAGTACTTTGGTGACTTCTGCATAGAAATCTTCTACTTCTTCCTCAGACTTATCTAATGTAGGCGCATATACCTGGATAATATTTAATGTCAACGGTTTTGCATTAATTTTCAACAACATCACTCTATCTGACTCTGGCATAAAATAATTGGTTACGCAATTTGTTAAGTGTTGCGGAATTATTACTCTACACCTCTTCAGCATCGGTTTCATTGCCTGAATAGTATAATTTTGCTCCGTTGGTTACACATTCGCCTGATCCCGCCCACCATGTTTCAGATATTCCTAAGATGTCGATGTTCAATCTTTTCACTTCATTTACTGTGTTGGCAAGCTTACCAGCCTGATATATGCTTCTCACATTCCAGGTTGCAATACAAATGTCTTTCGCTTTGTTTTTATTAGTTTTACCTCCGGGGATTCTTAGCACCCTCTTACTGCCGGAGACTGAGGGCCATCTTACTTCTTCGTTGTTGATCATAGGTACTTTCTAGGGATTGTTACTTTAGTGGTTTCCCGTTGCCTTCTAAAGGGTTTATAGTTTTCCTTCTGTTTTTACTGCCGTCCCTCTGGGATCAGACGCAGAACAGGTAGCCGTCCATTCTAGATCAGTCGCTTCTGGATTTGTGTAATCCTCATCAGGAGCCCTTACAAGGTGCTATCAGCCGGGCCAGCTGAACCTAGGCTTTTTAACGAGGTTGTTACTCCTCCTCCTCCTTCTTTCACATTCGGGCTTGGGACCGACATAGGCGGAGTTACTAAGATATCCCAACTGCCTTAGGGATATCTTATTATAGACGGGAAAGTAGGGGGGCCACAATAAGTCAAAAATGGCTGCGGTGGCTTGGGAGTTTACTCCTGTCCCACTCGGTTCCCTTAGAATCTATCTATCTATCTAGACCGGCAGACCGACAGGACCGAAAACTCGATATCCAAAATTTGTTGCCATCACATAATCCTACCTATTGTATACACAATGTTGTTGTGAAAAGATATTAATAAAACTGTTTATTCATTAAAAAATATAATTTGTTTTTTATTTTATTCGAATTTGAACATAACATACTTAATTTTTCGTTTACACTTTTTACCGAAAGCATTGCATACATTGTAGGAGATAATATGATGGTACCAAATTTTACATGTAGAGTTTCCGGCGAAAATACATTTCTTCTATCTGTTTACCTATCGCTTATCGGTAATATGTTAATCATATCAGATTTTTTTTAATTTTCTTTTTTTTTTCTCCAGAAAATATGCAGTAATTACTTAATAATAATCAAACTGATCTAGTTGTTAAAGTTGTGTGATCGTTTTACCCTGCACCTTTGTCAAGGGTATATTAACTTTGGTGTGGAGTTTGTTACCGCTTGGAGTCATCTGCGGTATGGACATATATATACATTCTTGCTTGGTAAAATTCTGCGTTGATTAAAACTAGTCCGTCCGTCTGATTGTATGACAACTCAAAAATGAATAAAGAAAATACGACCAAACTTTTACAAGTTGCTTCTTTTGTGCCAAGGACGGTCACTATCGTTATTAGACCAATTCGGCGAAGGGCTTCGGGTAGTTGCCATGCAACTCAAAGAGCTTATTTTAAATATTTCAAAAACGAATAAAGATATAAATACAAAATTTATATCTTTATAAGTTTTTGAAATATACGTGTGTCCGTAAACATTTTACAGGTTCTCCAAATGGAATGAATTTTTATGGAGTGGCTTCATTGGTTCGGCTAGCTGCCAATTATATG